ACCAACATTTTGTGTCGTACGATAGAAGACACTCAGTAAATCTATAAAATATTTAGTTTAGTGAAAAGAAAAAAGAATCACCGCTTGCTACTATAAAAATCTGTGTTCTCATTAATTTTCACCATAATGAACTAAACGGTGTAGTCGTTGAAAATATATCACATATAATGTTCACAATTGACCTGAAGATAATTTGCTTACGTGTTCAGTTTAGCTTGATCAGTATCGATCATTGTTATATCAGCATTAGAAAAGTGGAAATATTGGTCGGTCTTTCCGTCCTAATAATAATAATAATAACTCTTCAGGATTTCTCATTAGAAGCTACCGAACCTCGGACACGTGAATGTATAAACTCAGGACCACAGAACCTACATCAAACTTTGGTAATGCCTTACTGTGATCGATCCACCTGTCTGAGCAACCTCACTCATTGTTTTCGGTAGGTAACTGCCTACGCTAAACACCGTCTAACATGGCCCTTCCATCGTGTCAGTAATCAATTGACAGAAACAATTTATTTGAAATTATCACGGTAAATCTGGATGAATATGAAGTGAGAATACTGTGTATAATCGTAGTGTTCATATACTATTTTAGGTTGACATATTGCATTAAAAAATCACAAATGTTTTCATTACTATAAAAATTAAATAATTGTATTCGAGGCGAAATTTCATCACACACTCTAAGATTATGTGATTGTGACTGATATTTTGGGGCACAGTTTTGGAGGTTTGCGTTTTTACACATTTGAAATCATCAATCAATCATTGTTAGACCAACATTAGAAGAAATCTGGAAGCACTGGACGCCCGTTTCGTCCATTGTAAAAACGCAAACCTCCAAAACTGTGCCCCAAAATATCGTAACAGTGCTTGCTCACTAGTGACTAGCTTCGTGAGGAAATTCTCGGAGTTCTAGTTGAGAAGACGTGACCAATGGAGTTCAACCCTGTCGGGTGTAGGCAGTAACTACCAAAGACAAATGGGTGAGGTCGCGCAAAATCCCTAGATCAATCAGAGTTAGACATTAACGCCTTTAGATGCCGGCCCAGTGGTGCGATAGTAATGCGTCCGCCTACAATGCCAAAGGTCCAGGGTTCGAATCCTGTGAGGAGCAGGAGTCGCGGATGCGCACTGCTGAGGAGTCCCATACTAGGACGAAACGGCCGCGCAGTGCTTCCAGGTTTCTAATGGTTGTCTAACAATGATTGGTTGATGATTTCGATTGTGACTGAAAGTCATAAAAACATGCTCATCAGTTGCCCGGAATAAAACTCTATTGCGAAAGAACTATTGGATACTCTATGAAATTATTTGTTCACCCAATATTCTCTTGCGATCTCGGTTTATGTGACGCAACAGTTTTTGAGACCTCAACGTGAGTTTTGAGTTTCGGAAATAAAAAAAATGAAAATAAAACTAGATATTGCAACAATCTATTTACGTCAATTTAAACAAAGAAAGATTTATTATCTGATAAGCAGAGGTTACTATATTAATGAAAGGAATTTTTAAAATGATTCGTTTGCGAGCACTGGTTGTAGTAATCGCATCTAAATAGTCTCAGTCGCTAATTGTCCCGATTTACAAGAGAGGACAAAAGTCCTTCTGTGACAATCATAGGGGAGTCAGTCTAAATTGTTAGCCTCGATTATCTTCAGACGCCTAACTATAGCTAGTAAAAAGCAGACAAGAAACCACAATACCCCACATCTTCACTCTACGACGGGTCCTGGAACACAGACACACATAGGTGTCCGAAAACAGTCGTCTTCCTGGAACTTAAGGCGGCATTTAACTCTGTGGATCGTGACGTTCTATGGCAGTGTCTGTCATTAAAATATGTACCAAAGAAGTACATTAACCTTATACAAACTCTCTACTCGAATACCACTGGTCGAATGAGAGCTTATGGCGAACTGTCATCGGAATTCTTTACTTCAAGTAGTTTCCATCAGGGATATCCCCTTTCCCCATTCTTGTTCAATTCTGTCATAGACATGCTCCTAGATATAACCTTGTCCTCGTCTGAATTTTCGGGAGTGAACGCTCTACCAGCAGGATCGCCTACTCACTCAGAATTTGACATAGTTCTACTTGGTGAAGACTCTGACAAAATGCAGTCTTCTGACTACACTGAGCAACAACTCAAGCATATTCAGGATGCGGTACTCACCCTCGAAAAGTAAAATATTGCTTCAAGATTGGGTTGAATCTGCATCTGAACTAGTGATAGGAAGTGAAGTAGTTGAGCGTGTTGACCGCTCCACTTATCTTGGAAGTCTCATCATTGCTGATGGCCTGGTGACTGATGAAATCTCAGCACGGATACAGAAAGCTCGATTGGCTTGTGCCAGGTTGTGTCTCCTATGGCGCAGGCGATATATCCGTTTGCTGACTAAAGGATGAGTGTACTGTGCAGTAGTTCGCTCCGTCTTACTTTATGGCTGTGAAACATGGCCAGTGAGAGTAGAAGATATTCGTAGGCTACTGGTTTTCGATCATGGGTGTCTTCGAAGCATTGCTCGTATATCCTAGGACACCCGAGTGAGCAACGCTGTTATTAGGAAACGGGTACTAGGTAAGAATGGCAGATCAATGGATGAAGTAGTGGAACTTTATCAGTTGAGGTGGTTGGGACATGTGTTGCGTATGCCTAACCATCGACTGCCTCGACGAACTATGTTTTTATGGCTTAGGTTTATGCTAGAAGAAAGTTTCGGTTGGCCAGACCAAAACATGGCAGAAATCTATGAGATTACTGATCGGTGAACTGAGTTATGTTGGTAGATGTAGGCTACCTGGTTGGGGTTCGCGAAACGAATGTCACCGACATGACTCAAAGTCGTTTCCAATGGCGCTGGTGCATCCTCTCGATTTGTTCTAAACTGATGTACTTACATTCTAGGTTGTAACTGACTGACTAACTGACTGTCCTGTTGTTCGTAACTTATTTTATTCTTCTTGCAGACAAAGATGAAGTTAGGCGTACATATTGTTCAATGTTGTGGTTTTCATAGTTGAATAATATTTAGGCTGCACTTTCATGAACCAATTCCCGTCTTCAACTGTAAGCAGCTATGACATTAATTTTTCACAGAGTACTAAATAAGATGGTCATCAGAAAAATACATATGACAGGAAGTAACAATGTATATTAGACTACAGGAATAATTCTCCTCAAAATGCTTATTTTTACTAATAATTAAATAGAAGGATATATCGAAGGCCTGACTGGTAATAACTGAGATCGATGTTTTGATAAGCACATTCGATGAATTCGGTTTTGACCTAAATGACTGAAATTTTTATATTCGCGCTAACTGAGTGTGCATCGCTTTGAACGCCATTGGTTTAGGTATTATTTGCACAAAAGACAAGTGATAACGTGGTCTCAGTCTAGTTGCTACTGAATTCTTGAATCTGTGCCGGGTTATTTTTTGTTAATTTAGAAATTTCAAAGATTAGAACCATATCCTGATCAAGCTTATATTGTTGCTTAAGGTAGTCAGAAGACTGTGTTTCATCGACCTTCAATATATTATTTTAGAGATATTGTGACTTTATATATATATATATATATATATATATATATATATATATATATGTATATATATATATATATATATGGTCAGCGTTATAGAAGTACAGTAATCAATTTTGACTAATATATTTTAAATAATCATCAAAAACATTACGTAATAAGCAAATGTGTAAAAATAAATTCATCATTGTAGATCAGGACACCAGAAAAGAAAAAAACTCTTAGAACAATTCAACAGTGTACACCCGGCAATCACGTGCACTGGTGAAGAAGAATATGATAAAAATCTGTCTTTCCCTGACATCACACTAAGTAGGCGAAGTGATGGTTCGCTAAGTAGAAGCGTGCATAGAAAATATCCCAGTGCTTGCCAATACACTCACTTTTGTAGTTTTACACCTATCCACTACAAAACAAATTTGGTTAGATATCTGACAAGCAGAGCAAATATGATCTGTTCAGTGGATACTTTAAGTCAGGAGCTGGAATTCATCAACGGCTCATTAACCGAGATTGATTATCCCAGTGCATTCATAAAGAAGTATATGTTTGCCGTAGAAAAGAAGTCGGTAGTTTCGACCGCCCGAAAGAAGCCTTTTTTCATGAAGTTACAATTCAACGGAGATGTGGCCTGCGATACTCTGCAGGACAGATTGATACGAGTGAGTAGTTAATACAACATTCAACGCTGCCAAACTTGCATTGACATTCTCCAGTCGACCAGCGATGTCTACCCAAACGAAGGATAAGTTACCCGAGTTGGCCTCCTCTATGTGCATTTACAAATTCAGCTGCTCCTCTGGAGATAGCTATATCTGGCGTACTTCCAGCCAACTTACCCAATGAATGAGTGAACATATCCAGCATGGTGTACGAAGGGTCAGTCAAAAACAATACGCAGCTCTATCTTAGCACACCTGGTAGATAGTGGTCACATTGTAGATAAATCTAGATCTTTTCGGGTGATCTATCGTATACTTCCATCATTTCCCAACGGAGTTCGCTGCCGTCTCCTACACATAGGAGAAGCCATAGGAATACGTACATTCAACCGCAATTTATGTGTTCAGAAGAAATTCGTGACACCTCTATTTCTCTCGCGGCTGGATATCACGTGACTAACGATTGACATTATTTTTTTTACTTATTATTTTTAACACATTTGCTTATTACGTAATGGTTTTGATGTTTTTTGATGATTATTTGAAGTCTATTCATCCACCATTGACCTACTATTGATAAAACTTTAGTTATCATATTTTATAATATATTTTAGTCCTTGGTTTACCAATTGGTTTATCAATTCACGAATTTCATTTTAACTCTCTTTGAACTTATATATTTGTCCTCCAAACCAAACACAACACTAAATACGTGAATTTCCAAAAAAAGGTCAATTTATTTAGCTAACAAGTTACAAATGAAATTATGCAAAATAACAAAAAAAACTTTTAATTTGGAGGTAATGGAATGTTTTCATCTCCCAAGTATATAATTTGACCATTTACACTGAATGCAATCATTAAACAATCACTAAGTGCTGGTAGTGTGTTTACATATACGGATAATCTGAGAAAAAATAGCCAAAAAAACAATGTCAAGTAAATATAAATTATTATATTTAAGCGCTAAAAGTGAACGAAAAAAAAGGCATGCATACTTACTTATGCAGCATAGGCCGCCCACTAGTTTTCTCCAACCAACTAACTCTGTCCTGGGTTTCCCTTTCCAATTCTGTTCAATTTTCGTTCATTCTTCTCATATCTTTCTCTATTCCTCGGCGTAATGTGTTCCTTGGCCTTCGTCTTTTCCTTCCACCTTGAGGGTTCCATGTGAGGGCTTGTCTTATGACGCAGTTAGGTGCTTTCCGCAGTGTGTGTCTTATCCACCAACTCCACCGCTTCTTCCTAATTTCCTCCTCCTCCTCCACTGGAATCTGATTTGTTCTCTCCCACAGTAAGTTGTTGTTAATGGTGTCCGGCCAACGAATACGAAGTAATTTGCGTAGACAACTGTTCATAAATACTTGTATCTTGTGGATGATGGCTTTGGTAGTTGTCCAAGTTTCCTCTTCATACAGTAGAACTGTCTTGACATTTGTATTGAAAATCCTGATTTTGGTGTTGATTTGTGGTGCGAGCTACTTATAAGTAGTATATGACGTGAGTGTCAACGTAATGTCTGGCAGCAAAAGATGGGTGAAGATCAAGAATGGAAGAGTTAGAACACAATGGAATTTGTATGAAACGCATGAATAGTGAGTGACAATGGATTGATGTTTTGCAACAGGAACAGTCCAGTTCGATATGATGATGAACTGATATTTTGCAAATTAAAACGATTTACGATATGGTTTTCCGATTTTACTGAGTAACTCTGTAATTTTGTGTCAGATAACATTGAATAATTGTCATTCGATGTAAGATACAGTTTTTGTAGGGCTTTCTTGTGTGAAAATTCATTCATGTATGACACAGTTGTAATTTGTCCTTATTCATTCTTTCAGTTGTACATTTTGTTAATCTGTTCGATTTCATTTCGGAGATGATAATATATGTATTTTAATATTATAGTTTCTATTTCTTATTTTGTCTTCATTGAGTTTCTATGTTTCTTTCTGAACTGGATTTATGTTGTTGTTTAAGCTGATACGTAATCATGGCGATAGCCATATTTGATTTGTTCCTCTTTTGATTGTGTCGGTTGCTTGCATTGGACTGGAATTGTGCATTTTGATTGTGAATTGAAGCACCCTTACAGAATAAGAAGCATTCTGTGTTATAAAGTGACCAGATATTATCTTTCAAATGAATCTGATCTATCCAGAAAGGGCAGAATAACATTTATTTGTTGCGGTTGATTAGAATAATTGAATAATTATTGATGGAATAAATGAGTAGTCATTATTTGTTTAGACAATAATGTATATTTATGTATATTTGTATATATGTATATTTGGTGTACGTTCTAGCTGACCTTGTGGGACAAACTCGATCTTTAGCTTCATGCGGGGTTATGAGGGCCTCGATCGATTGTATCAACGCAAGGCAGTTGGAGGTCAGACGGTTGGAATGGCTGTTGGTTAGTGCACTGCTTGGGTGGCTCGGTAAACCGCTTCGGGGTGCCAGGTCCAGCTGGGTAAGCCCGCCTTGCTGCCCTTGCCGATTGGGGATTGTGGGTAGTGGATTGGTTGGAGGGATCTCTTGATTCATGAGTGCTCGGGCGGGGGTTACTGCTCGTGTGCGTACTTTTTGGATGTCCAACTTGTCTGCAGACCAATCTGGATATACATGTACGTTCCTTCGTGGCGCAGGGATGACTACTGTCTTAGTAAAGTGATAAATCTCTGCGTTGCCGTAAAAAAGCAGCAATGTGCATGTGCAGCAGGCCTGTTGGTTAACCAAGATTTTATGTATATTTATATATTCATGATGATGAATATTAGAACCTGTTATTTACCTAAATCACCTTGTTTTTTATTTTATTTCAACTGGGCAATAGCACATATCCAAAATAAACTACCTTACCTAGATAGTTTAGTTATTCCTCAATTCAACAAATCTTAGTTTAGTTTAGATTCTACAATTATAGATTGTTGAAGAATACAAATTGCATAAGCTCATCATCATCATCATCCTTTTATAATCATATCACGTAAATAATAATAATAATAATAATAATTTTTATTTCAATACCTGGATGATAAGTCCCTGATTGAACATCGGTATTTGGTACTTTTCTTTCTACTGAATTCATATGCAATAAAATCTTCACGTTCTTCATTTCTATCAAATTGATTGATGGCACTTTCAATTATACATCTGGCTTCATGTTGTAAACCTACTGGCATATTAGTAACAATCGGTTTGTCCATGATGATCAATAAATATACAATGAATAACAGTTGAAAATATTCTTCACATTATTTATATCACGTCAAAATGAATTGTTTTTTTTTTAACTTTGATTGGAGTTTTATTTTGAGTTAAACAAAATCTGTTGATCACATAGAGTATATACAGTAAAAGAATTGGCCAATTATAGAACTAACTAATCAATCAATACATTATTATTATTATTCAGACGTACGTATGGATTCTTGATGTTAAGAACACGAACAGTGGCCCCCGTTCAGACACTTATAAATCAACAAGATCCGCACACCAATCCACTACCCGAAATCTCTAATCGGTATGGGCAGCAAGGCGCGCTTACCCAGCAGGACTTGGCACTCTGAATGGATTACTGAGCCAACCAGCAGCCGTTCCAACCGTCTAGCTTCTAAATGTCTTGCGCTGATACAATCGACCGGGGACCTCAGATCCCACATGAAGCTAAAGATCGAATTTCTCCCACAAGGTCAGACGGAACATACACACTCCCATGGGGAGGATTTCGTGGACACAACCAACTGCAAGCACTCGGCCAAGCTGGGGTCAGACATAATTGGCATCCAGTACCCTTTAGCACCGGATCACATAATCCAACTTGAGACCATTGTTTAAGGGGCTGAGATGCAGATTGTTCGGGATAACCACATAGGGTCGGCGTCAGTAATCTAGGTTGTCTACGGCTGCTTCCCCAAAGAGAACGTCCAGGGCCGCCTTCAACTATCCTGTAAAGCTACATACCTTTCAAGGTATTTGCTACTACGGAATGATAGAGGACAAGTCCTCAAACCATTATCGGAATTTACCTACGCTCGATGGACGGGATTCAGACATAGAGGTGTTCAGTCCTAATCCTCCAGATTGGCTAAGCGCATCCACAGCCTTGCGACCATGAACGCGTACCATTATTCTGGACCATGCTAGGCACGGTATCCTAAACGTTCGGAACGGCATTTAGCGCAGCGCTGTAAACCACGAAGAGGTGGCCGTCACGACAACCCCCAAAAGGCTCCATTTATGCGCGTCACCTAATATATCCATTCAATTAGATGACGAGGCATTTGGCTAATTCATGGTCAACCAACAGGCCTGCTGCACATGCACATCGCTGCATTGATAGGCAACGCAAAGATTCTCACTGTAGCCAACAGTAGTGACCCCTGCCCCTTTCGGGAACATACATGTTGTTCAGTTTGGTCTGCAGACAAGTTGGACATCCAAAAAGTACGCACACAAGCAGGGGCCCCCGCCCGGGCACTCATGAATCAAGAAATCCCACCAACCAAACCACAGCCCACAATTCCCAATCGGCGAGGGCGGCAAGGCGGGCTTATCCTTCCGGACAAGGGACCCCGCAGCGGATTACTGAGCCACCCAAGCAGTGCACTAACCAACAGCCATTCCAACCGTCTGGCCTCTAACTGCCTTGCGTTGATACAATCGATCGAGGCCCATCTTACCCCGCATGAAGCTAAAGATCGAGTTTGTCTCACAAGGTCAGCTAGAACGTCCACCCTTCCATGAGGAAGATGTCATGAACTCGACCAAACGCAAGCGCTCAGCCAAACAGGCCTCATCCCACAGAAGTGGGCAGACATCATTGGTGTTCAATGCCTTTTACAGCACTAAAGCACCGGAACCCAACTTGAGACCCTTGTTTAAGGGGCCTCGACGCCAGTTCACACACAACATCGAGTTGAGCATGTAAGGGACAACCACATAGGGTCGGCGTCAGTAGTGCAGGATGTCTGCGGCTGCTTCCCCAAACTTAGCGTCCAAGGCCGCCCTCGATCATCCTACTACATCCCTTTCAAGAATTTACCTACGCTTGAAGGACGGGATTCGGACCTAGAGTCGTTCAGTCTTAATTCCCCCAGACTGGTCAGACGCATCCACAGCCTTGCGACCATGAGCGTGCCATTTATCCGGACCATGCAAAGCACGGTATCCTAAGCGATCGGAACGACTTTTGGCCGCAGCGATGTATCCACCGCCACGTTGCCTGGCGGGACCACGAAGAGGTGGTCGCCACCACAACCCCCTCAAAGGCACCAATATTGCTCAACCCGAGGCCACCTTAGGCATTCTAAGGCTACGCCCCTCATATGACGATGACGAGGCATTTGGCTACCTTAAGAGAGTCATAGTTACTCCCGCCATCAGACTATATTATGATTGTGACAAATCAATTATTTATCTAGTTATGCATCATATGTAAACATTAGAGATAGATTGAACATTTAACAGTGATAAAAATTATCTATAGAAACATTTCAATTTATTCAATATCAAAGATTCTCCCACTTAGTTGGTAATTTTTTTCGATATATTCGTACGTTAAATATGATTGACGTTAAAGTAAACAGCATGAAAGACCGTTTCGTTTCGATTTCTAACGTGGACAAACAATTGAAATTAGTTTGTGAAGCGTTCAATATTCAATTAACATCTATCTGATCAATAATACAATCTGTATGCTTGATTCATTGTAATTGCTTGGTGTTTGTAGAATACACTTAATATGCTATATCAAAACTTTTTCGTCAATTAATTTTGGGGGGCAACGGATCACAATAGTCTACCGTGTCACACTGGTTCATTGTCTTGTTCTTGTTTATCCACTGAGTTTAACTTCATCAGTTGAGGTGGTTGGGACATGTCTTGCGTATGCCTAACCACCGACTGCCTCGAAGAGCTTTGTTTTGTAGTGTAGGAGTAAGTTGGAAGAAAGTTAGGGGCGGCCAGACCAAAACATGGCACAAATCCATGAAGTCATTGACGAGTGAACTTAGCCATGTCGGTAATTGTCGACTACCTGGTTGGGGTCCGCGAGATGATAATAATCGATGGTTAGAGACCTTGAATGACATGGTTCACAATGGCGGAGGTGCATTTATTTTTTGTGTTCTCTCAAATCCTAATCTTCTGGGTTCTTCAACAACTCTGGTTTTGACATTCTAAACTTTTCTCATACTGAATCATACTTCTTGAATAATATCTTCTTAACCTAACCTCTTCGATCACTTCCAATAACTTTACTACCAATTCTACTATTGGATTTGAATTGACAATAACATCTCTGTGCTGATGTGGTATGGCAACACGAACTGATGTACTTACGTACGAAGTTCTACGTTGCATCTGACTGACTAAGAATATATAGTCAGACAAAAATAAGACAGACATGACAAGCGAAATAGGCATGCACACACATCGATAGAAGCGACGAATGATTGACAAGGTCAAAAGCAAACGATACAAATCATGTGAGTTCATGGGGATATTATTAAGAGATTAACATTAAAGCGATAAGGATCAGTAAGCGCGTAGGCGTAAGCATTGCTCAGTCGTACAAGCTCGTACAAACCAGAAAATAAAAAATACCAGTGGTACATATGGGCTGTAGGTATACAAATAGCTTGGTTACATAAGTTAATCGAAAGGCTTAATCAGATTAAATATGAGCGAACTCAAGTTTATGTGCTACAATTATTGTGTATATAACTCCGCCAGTAGAACCTTCGGGGCTACTGCCGGTCCCAAGCTCGGATAAAGGCGGAGGGTTTGACATGGGGTTGGCGAACCCATTCCGTCGAAATCTAACTTGCCATAAAAACGCTAACCAGAAAAAAATAATTCAAACCATTTTAACTCTGCCCTGGGAGTTGGAAGAAGAATTATGACGTTGCATGATGAAAGCCGAGTTCCCTCGGAAGTAATGAGGCTGATGCCTCTTCTGACAACCAGAGCAACCATTCTTTACGTACATGGAATGTTCGTACATTGTGGGAGACTGGAAGACTATTTCAAGTTGCGGCAGAAATGAAAGGATACAACCTTGTGGTGCTCGGCATCAGTGGAACGCACTGGACACAGGTTGGACAACTGAGGCTAGCTAGCATCAAGGGAACTGCTTTTATACTCTGGTCATGAAGACGAAAATGCTTCAAATACACAAGGAGTTGCACTGATGCTGTCCAAACATGCACAAAAGGCACTGATAAGATGGGAATCTCATGGACCCAGGATCAATAAACCATCCTTCAAAACAATGAAAGAGTACATTACAATGAACGTCATCCAATGTTATGCACATACCAATGACTACAATGACGACGTTAAAGATCAATTCTACGAAAGGCTGTAGTCAATCGTCGATAAATGTTCACTAAAGGATTTGACGATTCTTATGGGAGACCTGAATGCCAAGGTTGGAATGGACAACACTGGATATGAAGACATCATGGGACGACATGGACTGGGAGAAAGGAACGAAAACGGTGAGAGATTTGCAAACCTATGTGCCTTCAACAAACTGGTCATCGGCAGCACCATATTCCCACACAAACGCATACACAAAGCTACATGGATTTCACTGGATCACACTACTCAAAACCAGATTGATCATATCTGTATCAACGAAACGTTCAGAAGGACTACGGAGGATGTGAGAACCAGGAGAGGAGCTGATGTAGCCTCAGATCACCACATGCTGGTCGCCAAAATGAAAGTGAAACTAAAGAAGCACTGGACAATGGGGCAGACAACATCACAGAAGTTTAATACAGCCTTTCTTCGGGATACCGTAAAACTCAACGAATTCAAGATAGCCCTCTCCAATATATTCCAGGCCTTTCAGGATCTACACGATGGAGAGGAAGCAACATTGGAGGTCCCGGTTCAAATCCTGAGAGGTGCACGGGTCGTAGATGCGCACTGCTGATGAGTCCCATACTAGGACGAAACGGCCATTGTTCAGTGCTCCCAGGTTCCTAATAGTGGTCTTACAATGATTGATTGATGATTTCAAATTTGTAAAAACAGTCATAATCGTTTAATAAAAAAAGTATTCTAAATACCTGACTGACAGTGGCTTGCTAACACAGTGATGATCGTAAGCTTCCTCTTTTATTCAAAGTTTTCGATAAGTATGTACTTGAACAACATATATAAGCGAACAATATTATTGTTTTCAATTAGATCG